AAAAAAAAAAAAAAAAAAAAAAAAAAAAATCTCCCCTCTCGTTTCTATTTTCACAATTTCGATTCCCATACAGACAACAGATTCCGACACTTTCGCACCGATCTGTATCTCGGCGATGATCCAATTTCAACGATGGCGGGGGAGGAGAGGGCGGCGAGGGATCGGGTGAGGGCGCGCAAGAGGATCGGCGAGCTGAAGAAGCGGAGGAAGGCGAAGGAGAGGAGGCAGAGGATGAGGCATGGGGGCGAGAAGTCGGCGGTGGAATCGCCCCCGGCTTTGCCACGCGTTGCATTGAATGAAACAATAATGTCGAGGCTGGATCTGAGCTGCATCATGAAAGCTCGAAGGAAAGGATTTACCAAAGCTCCCCTGGTCGAAAACGCGTATCCAGCCAAGTATGCCAGGTTTGTATCTTGTACTTCTTTTCGAGGTCGCCCCAATCATTTTCTCAATTTATAAATTGTATAAATTATATAATTGTTTTATTTTACTTTTTTTTTTTTTTTTTAATTATATATAATGCGTTGCTCTTATCAGTCAGAATTGCTGATTCTTATAATTATTAAGCGAAGTTTATGAAGTTTATTCGAAAAGTTTCGGTGACAACGTTTCATATGCATGCAAATTCTAATTATCCAACTTCTCATGGATTATTACCTTAAGTCGATCTCGCTTATCAACATTGTTATTATCATATTCCTACGAGTTGAAATTACCTATCAAGGATCTTTGTACATCCTGCGCTTGCTTCGATGGAAAGCTTTCGTCATGTGGTAAGGAAAGTTCTAATCTAAGTCGATTCTATAGATGTTTAAGTTAAATCTCGTTAATTCTATTAACAAATTATTGATTTCCAAAGTTTTTCTACTGAAAAGTAAATCATCATTAATATCAGTATTTCGTTATCCAATAGATTTTCAAACGAATTTGAGAATATTATACCTTGCACAATTTTCTTTCTTCTATTTTCATTGTCTATTAAAATGATTCCATATCGAGACACGATTACTCCATAGAGATATTTTATTAACGTTTTCATTCGATCAGGATTTATCAATATGTCGTGTGTTATATTTTCCTCTACTTTATTTTTTTTCAGAAGGAAGAGCGTACTACCGCCGTACAATCGATACCTAGTGGCAGTTTACGAGTGCATCGAGGGATACGTTTTCGAGGACTCGACGACTGATCGACTTTTCTGCAGCGATGGCGCTTGGTTAGGCGCGATTCCGCGTTGCGTAAAAGTGGAAGGTAATATGGGAATGAGAGAGGAGAGGCGATATTTGTCAAAATATTTGTTCCAGGGATTGGAAACAATTTAAAAAAAAAAAGGAAAAATTTCTCCAAATAATTTTTAGTCTCTAATTTAATTTTTTTTTATCGATGAATCTATAATATATTTACTTCTTCTCCCGATTTTTGCGAAAACCGTAAACGAGATTGAAATAACTTTCACCGAAAGTTTTTCGTTTACTTTAGAAAAGTTGAATGAACTAGATTTTTTTCCCAACCGATATCGGCGGAGATATTCGCGCAAGTTTTTTAAATCTCTGTTGCTGAAATATCGAGATTGTTTTCTGCAAATCTAAAATCGTAATTGAAGGATTTTTAGAAATTCAATCGATGTTAACGATCACATCACACAGTTTAATTAAGTTGATGTTAAATTATTATACTAGTTATTTAATCGATTCGTTTGTAAATATAAACAGATTCTTCGATTAAATTATATTCAAAGAATGTAAAACTGATTGGCCTCTGAGAAATCTCGAATGCGTGTCATTGAAAGAAACTTCTCGTTCCAATATCTGATTTTCTAACAATTGTTATCCATCAAAAGAAAATGTATATCTTCTAAATAAATAAATTTATACGTTATTACAATGACAAAAAATTCTTTGTGCTACAAATTAATTTCCATATCTTCATATGCAGTTGAATTTCATCTTTCAGAATTTTGCATAGAAATTCCTTTCAAAGAAGG